AAGTATTGGATCAGGATCATTGATACCAGCCTGAGTTTTACTTGGCATCAGTATCAGAAAGATGATCGGTAGTATCACCAGCTCTTCCTAAATCATCTTGTTGGGGGTAAAATACATTTTATGTGTGTTTTTGACAAAGTGATGGTGACCACATGTCTAAAGATAGGTTTTATAATTGTTTAAATGCGCAGTTGTCTGTCATGTGTTGACACACTGTATTAGTTYCTCTTTAGGGTTTAAGAGCTTTTCATACCTGAACTATTCATAAGTCTGAGTTAAGTGGCTTAGCAAACAACAATGAAGACATTCTTCTAAAAATGTCAGTTGCTGGTCCAAAGTCCAGAGAAAAACACTATTAGAAAACCTGAAGAACTGTTAATTAGCACAACCTTAAGAAACAAACTGCAACCGTCTGGCTGTTTTGAAGCAAAATATGAAAGAAAATAAAGAGGGCTGACTCAAGACTTACTCAGCAATGTTCATTTAGAATTTAATCTTTCCTTTATGTGCTTGTTGCCAATACAAAGAGAATCAGAAATGCAAGAATCGTTGCATCTTCACTGATGAAACCCTGAATGCCTTTTTAACGATTTAAAATCTGCCAACTAAAATTACTCCCAGGGAAGTAAAATGGGTTGATATTTATTGCTTTTCAAAAAAGTTAACAATTGAAGTCAACTGACCAATAGACTATTATACAAGCTTATGGAATACTATCTGTGTGTTTTTCTCAAATTTTCTGTTTAATTCATCCATAAAGTACAGACAATTGATTTAACCACTGACTTTAAAACATTCACTAAAATGTCCATTTTGCATTGAGAATGCTTGACTGCATTGGTCACTGCATTGGTGATAAAAAAAAAGACAACTAGGAGAGTAAAGGGATTGTGGAAATGCACATTCCCTCAGGCAGACTGTGTCTCTCACTGAGAATAAGCTGAAAACTTGTCTCTTTTTGGAGCAGACAGACAGAATAACTTAAGACTGGCTGATTGCTGCTAACTCTGCTTCAAATAATCTCCAATAACATCGCCCCTGAAGCTGCAGCAGCAAATTTAGCACTTAGATGGCCCCTTCCTTCCCTCCCCCGCTGCTGCTGTCTGGCTTTGGCTTGGCCGAGCTGTGCACCACGCCGCAGTAGCTGCAGCTCTTTTCGGCTAAAGGGCACGCAGACAAAGAGGCAGAGCCGATTATCTGTGTCTCATCCAGAGGCAGCACACAGCAGACATCTATTATAAAGCCTCAATGTGATGCTGAAGCCTTTTCACTGGAGCCACAAAAGCCTTGAGATTATTGAGATCCCCCTGATAGTATTGTCATTGTTAGTGATATGAAGAGATTGCAGCAAGTGTGAAATATCTGTGCACCCAACCTGCAAAACAAAGCCCCTGTTGTGGAGGTGCACCTCACAAATGTTGGTGAACAGACAGAGCTGAAGTACACTGACTGAAGCTAGGTTTATGCTCGATGCGTCGAGGTGGGCGAGAGGATGCGCGCGCTGTAAGTGACGCAATATATGACCGTCATGGTCGTCCCTGCCCCTGCGCGTTGGCCCTTTGCGGTGTCCTGTCATGAGGTCATGCACATCCGGATTTTTCAAACTCCGCAAGGACGGCGTGCGCCGTGGACATCAACAAACAAGATGGACGTGTGCAAGAAGATGTTAAAATGTTTGAAGGACCCTCAATTAATGCTAAAGCTAGCAGGGGAATTGGCATAAAAAAAAACTTAGATTTAAACTTAGATCTGTACATTCCACTTCTTACGTGTTAATAAAAGGCAAGAGGTGGAAAGTCATTACTTTTATTTCATCTTTCTTGTTTTCATTCCAGCTTGTTATTGTAAAAAAATAAATACTGTCCATATAAATTCTGTTTCCTAGATTTGGCGAAGGGTGAATTTGGCAAAGCACTTGTGCTTTTTCTCCAATACATGTATACCCAATAACATTAAACAGGAATTTTGAAGTCTGTAAAATTCCACTGACAAATTGAGATTTAAACACATCCCGAAAGGTGGCGGCAGCATCAAATACTTCCAATGCAATGAACGAACACACCATCTCCTTCTGCATCATCATCTCAATAAAAGCAATAGATATATTTGTTGCTCTATTATATTACGTTTGTCTAACAACAGTTCTTCTTGTGACCGAGCCACCATCTTTTCTATAGTGTGACGTCAAAYATTTCTTCTTCTACACCTGTTTTTCACAACCGAAATGCTGGTTAGATAGTGTACTGCCACCCGTTGGTCATAGAAGAACAGCACTTTGATGCACATCAACTATAATTTGAGAAGCCGCACRGCCGAATGCGCGCGCACTCCGYGCCCACTTYGCMYGYGTYCCAAAGCGCGACTATAACTCAGCCTGAACACAAACTACAGGATGTGATCTGAACCTTTACTTCTTGACTTTAAAATCCTGTTGTTTGGGTTGGTTCTTGTGGATCAGATGCAGAATCTGAGTCGTCCAAACCAAATATTYCACCCAGTGAGAGCCCCAAGTCATGTTGAAGTACACGAATTGGCCGTTCTTTGACAGTTCCGATTGAGCAAAGCATGCTTTACAGCAAATTAATTAGGTGTAAAGTTAGACTTAAAAGCAAAACTGACTTTGTACAATTCCAATCAGTGCAGCTTTGATGCAACTGCGTGTTGTTTAACCATGATATGAGCCAAGCGTTGACACTTCCAGTGTTTATTTATTTATTTGTTTTTTGCTCACATTACCTTCTCGTTTGGCATGTTTGATCTGTATTAATTAGCCATTTTTTTTAGATTATAATTGGTGTGTGCCACGGCATACACCTAACTTTCTGCTCTTGTTTTTATCCGGTCGTAATTTAKTAAAAAAGTGAAAGTAATTACAAAGAACCTTGAATTCACATTAATGAAACACAATGAATTAATCAGTCGATACATGGTTATTTAAAGCACAAAAAGGACGTGCTGTGTAACCCCCGACTTAAAAAAATTAATAAATTCATATTCATTGCAGGGAATTGCAGCTTTGAAATGAGTTCCTTTTCTTTAAGAAGGAAATGGAAAGAAATACAATTACAGTAGCACTGCCTAGAGTGACTGAGATAACATGTTGGCGTCACCATTATGGCAGAAGGCCAAGCTCTCCTTTTGTCACATAATATGAAAATTATTTCAGCTCATTTGATCTTCCTCAGTCTACATAAAGTCGTGTGTGTCTGAGCAATAAGAGTGGAAACTTATCACCTGATTCTATACTTTCTTTTAATAAATAAAAGGCAAAAGCTTCCGCCCGTGAGCCGGCTTTATCTGGCCCGATTTAGTAATTGGCATTTGCAAGGTAATACAGCCAAGCCGCAACTACACGGTGAGCAGAGTAATGATGTCAGAGCCATGATAGAGAGACTCATTTCTCATTAGCGAGGCCTGATTCCACATGGTTTCCTTCCTGCACGACGGCCCGACGCACATCGGTGCCGCCACGCCACTTCCACTGACACGTCTTCACTAAACACACCAAACAGAATCGACAGAAACCCTCACTCCTCATCAAGATTCAGAAGGAAACGCAGGCATCGTCCTCGCCCCTGCTTTTCATAGGACAACAAAGCCACCGTTTGTGCTCAACTGAATGTTGCTTAAAGTTACCGAACCATGCTGAAGAGGAAAATCAAGCCCTGGGAGCTATCGAGCTTCTTTAGCTTGTTGCACATAATGAAAACTGTTTTTTTGGCTCAGTTTGCTGCTGAGTCATGCTCCTGTGACAAGAATATCCTCATCTGGACCCCCCCCCCAAAAAAAAGTGTGAATTAAAACTTTAATAACACAAAGTAGATTACAGTCGGCTGCAGTTCTGGTGTGAACCTCTTTGATTTGACTTTATGGAACCGTTTTCATAATAGCAGCATCAGCATATTTTTCATGAAAGAAAAAAATCTATTTCATAAAGATTACCTTGGATTTTTTTTTCAAAAAGAACATAATTCAAAACCAGAATATTTATATATAGTTTTTTTTTCAAGTTTTGCAGGTTTTCAGTTTCAAGGTTTTCAGCATATATTATTGAAAATATGGATTATGGAAGCTTGAGTTGTGGCAGAGCTGGACAGCTGGTAAGACTAAAGTACAGAACTTGTATTTTTCCAGTGAAGACTAACATTTACAGCCTACTAACAGGCACAGTGAGGGATTCAGAGGCCCATCTGCCTCTGTTGACAGCCCACAGTGAGGCAACACTTGTGCAGCTCTGGTGTGGGCTCTGTTGTGTCGCTTCGTACGCAGAATGAACAACAGTTCTTTATCGTCGGTGGGGGATGTGAGGGATATTAGGCTGAAATGATGAGAAAACACGCAGCCGTGACCCGCGTGTGAGCAGGACTTCTTATCCGTTCTGCTGCTTGTAGCGATGTGAGATTAGCATTGTCACGCTCTCCCAGGACCTGCCCTGCTTCTACCTCTGAAAATAGCACAATAAGGAGGTCTGCTTGAAATAGTCTTATATCACGTCCCCGTACCTCAGTTTTATGTGCCACAAGGCCCGTCTGAGCGGTGCTAGTTTTCAGAGCACAGCCAAGGTTCAGATGATGGACAGCACTGACAGCCATAATGATGTGTAAATTTCAAGCAGGTCAACACTGAAACACCCACCTCCCCCCCTCCCAGGGTTGTCAGAGCAAACTCATTTTATAAACACAATGATCCCTAAAATATTCATAACAAACAAAAAAATGGGGTCAGGCTTCTTCCTCCTTCTCATCTATYGCATGTTTTTTTGAGCACATTTATTAAAAAACTAACCAAAGATTTACAAAGACCGTGGTGCCACCTCCCTATAAGTTCAGTCCTTCATGTCTGCTCCGACAAATTGGAGGTTTTATACAACAAAGACAGGAATTATATTGGTATGCAGTGAAGACAATTTGTATTGAAGTCGGTGGTGCACGGGGAACAATGATGAAGTGCTGTAATAAAATGCAAACAAAAGCTAGTAAGACAGATGAGATGAGACTTACAGCTCGGAGAGTTGGAGGTGCTGGAAGAGCTGCCATGACAGGGTGCTGAGAGGGTTCTTTGACAGGTTTCTGTAGAGGAAAGAAGAAGAAGAAAAAAGGCGAATGTTAAATTGAATTATGTTATGTGAAATATTTAAAGTTTGTCATGTTTGTTCTGCTTTTTTCACCTCAGGTTTTGATGTCTTTTCAGGTGAACTTATAGCAAATATTTTTCTTTTGCAGTCTTTTTGACTATTTTCCCCTGTTTCTTTTGTAGTGAAATGTCACTTTTAGCCTCCAAGGTTTGCTGTTGTGTGCATGTTGCTTCAGAAAACATTTCAACACTGTGATTTTCCCCTGTTTCTTTTGTAGTGAAATGTCACTTTTAGCCTCCAAGGTTTGCTGTTGTGTGCATGCTGCTTCAGAAAACATTTCAACACTGTGATTTTTTTATTTAATAGATTTTTTGTTATTGTTTTTACAATAAATTTATTCTCTCTAAACTAATAACACAACAGTCTATTTATAGAAAATTCCAAAAGTGTGTTTTATTGGCTGCAAATCTATTCATAACCTTAAATCTGAACAGGTAAAGCAATAAAAGCTTTAAGTCTTCCTTTGATAAATAGCTTATAACTTTAAAAACAGGGAGCTAGATGTATAAACAATATCCACCTACACACACACACACACACACACACACACACACACACACACACACACACACACAACAGAGAGAGAAGAAATGTACAATATTGAAAAGGTATGATCCCTGGA